TCTCTCTCTCTCTCTCTCTCTCTCTCTCTCTCTCTCGTCGCGGCTGGCCTCATGGTACTGCGCCCTTGCTAGGATGAGCAAAATCGAATGAATCTGGCGCTATAGCGTGGGAATATACATTGCCTTACTTGTTTTTGTGTGAGTGTGTGTGTGTGTGTGTGTGTGTGTGTGTGTGAGAGAGAGAGAGAGAGAGAGAGAGAGGCGGCGAATGAATCTGGTGCTATAGTGTGGGAATATACACTGCCATACTTCTTTTGTTGTTTTTTTTTCGTTTTTTTTTTTCGTTTTTTTTTTCGTTTTTTTTTTCGTTTTTTTTTTTTTTCCGTTTATTTCGTTCGTTTCACTCCGACGTTCGGGATGCCTGCGCCCGGTTGTCCAAGCCTCGGCACGGATCGGCATACCGGTCGGCCAAGGCTCGGACTCGATAGCTGGGCCAGGTACTGGTGGTTTAACTGAAAGTAGCCTAATAAAGCTCTGGACGACGCTATGACGAACCACTTTCTGTGCCGCGCGACTTTCTGCGCGATGACGATGAGGGGTCCTGAGATGGGAAGGTTGGGAAAATTAGGATTGGCGGGTAAAATTGCGTCGGTGTCCTTGCTTCTTTCTTTTCGTTCGCTACGCTCCCTCCCCTTCGGCGGTGATGGGACAGGCCCGGGACAGACGGTTGAGTGTGCGCGCCCCGTTGGGCACGATCAATAATGGTTGGCGATGGTTCTTTCTTGCTCTGCTGGGAGTAAAAGGAGGGAACTGAGATTTTTGCCGCGATAATCGCGCGGGAGCTTTCCGGTTTTTTATTTTTATTTTCCTTTCAACCAAGGACAAGCCCCCGAGGGCTCTCGGAGTTTTGATTTCATTTTGCTTTTCTTCCGTCTCGTCGGAATTTTTCTGTTGCAATTTTGAGTCCAGATACGAATTTAGGACTTCTTGAAATTTTTGTCGACCGGCGCCTCTTTCTTGCGCGCATCTTCCTGCGGCGGGAACGAAGTTCTGACTAAGCGGCGCCCTTAATCTTGCGTGCAACTGTAATCGTTGGGCGGGCGCCATTGTAACTGTATTTTTTTTCTTGTTCCCTCGCCTTCTCCCCGCCCTTTTCCCCTTCTTTTTGCTGCATCTGATTGGCCTGAACGCTGCATGCCTAGATCGATGCGTGGAGAGGTCCTCCACGCCGCGATCTGGCCATGCCAAGCGTAGGCACTTCCTTCCCTGCTCCTCTTTCCAATCCCTGCAATCTCGCATCTTCGCGTACGCATGCATGCTATAAATTTCGTCGGCAAGATTAGATAGCTCTCTTAAAAATTTTGGAAGCTCAAGGTTAGCGCGATCAGTGAGGGTCGACTAATGAGCGAAGTAAGAGGTGAGTTGATGTGGGAGTAGGGCGACAAGACGAGCTGGTGCTTAGTGCGCGGGGTTGACGTGTAGGCCACAACGGACTGTGGCGCACGGGCGAACCTGACGGACGCATGCGGACTAAGCGGGGTGACAACTTCGTCGGTGGGTGCGAGACGACGGACTATCCGCATCGGAGAGAGAGAGAGAGAGGGGAAATAGACGGATGTGGGATTGCAATCTTCTTTGTCTTTTCTCAGTCCATGTATATAAAATTTTGGCTTCGGCCAAGACGCCCTTGTTTTGCATTTTGACACTTCTTTCGGCTTTGTGTGATATACGACTCAATCTCTGTCCTCCCTCTTTCGTTTTGCATTCGCTTGATGAGATGGGTCTGATGATCTTGTAATGCTTGAATACCCGATATTTTGCGTGTAATCATGAATCATCCAACGCTCGCAGCGCCGATCTATTCTCACCCGGATGATTGGTAGGTGGAAGGAGTTTGATACTGTTGCGGTGCTTCGATGTATGTCTGGATGGCGATGAGATATCCCCCTAATGGCCACATAACTGCTTCTTATCCGAACAAAAATAGCCGAGAGATTATTGCATGATTACATGAACCTTCTTTTTGCATAGGTGACTAGTTGATAGATCGATCCACAGCGGACCAACCCCGCGAGTCCCCGTGTAAGTGTGATCTGAAGAGCGCGACTTACATGCGCACCCACGAGGCCGGCCCGCAACCCCGAATGGACTTAGCACGACAGATCTCGACGTGAATGACAAAATCTCCATCTGCAATACGGGTCGGGACAAATTAAGGACCAGACGCCATACGGGGACCGCTGGGTGTGCATGCTTTGAGAATGTCCAAAACGGAACAAGATTGATAGGCTGAGGGAACTAGCTGCATGGTTGAACTGGTACGCTGACGGATCGTTCCCTGATTATTTGCGCAACTGAAGTACCCCTGCCGGACTGAAAACGAGCGACTGTGCAGGGGCGACTTCCAGTTGGCAATCAACCGAGGCCCACGGATTCCCGATTATCCCGACAGCTGAAACCAGCAATATCTTCTAACTCCCGGCTTCGATGCCATCACCACTGACTTCCCTCCCTACTATATTGTCCTCCCTTACCACCGGTTACTCGTGGTCCCCTGCGATTCCATAGCCCGGTTCTGGCCCCGCCCGCCGTGCTCGGAGTATCAACAGCCAAA